ATGTGGAGCATCTTTTCATGTGCCTGTTGGCCATCTGGATTTCTTCTTTAGAGAACTGTCTATTCAGCTCCTCTGCCCATTTTTTAATTGGATTATTTGCTTTTTGTTTGTTGAGGTGTGTGAGCTCTTTATATATTTTGGATGTCAATCCTTTATCGGATCTGTCATTTATGAATATGTTCTCCCATACTGTAGGATACCTTTTTGTTCTATTGATGGTGTCCTTTGCTGTCCAGAAGCTTTTTAGGTTGATATAGTCCCAGTTGTTCATTTTTGCCTTTGTTTCCCTTGCCCGGGGAGATATGTTCATGAAGAAGTCACTCATGTTTATGTCTGTGAGATTTTTGCCTATGTTTTTTTCTAAGAGTTTTATGGTTTCATGACTTACATTCAAGTCTTTGATCCATTTGGAGTTTACTTTTGTGTATAGGGTTAGACAGTGATCCAGTTTCATTCTCTTACATGTAGCTGTCCAGTTTTGCCAGCACCATCTGTTGATGAGACTGTCATTTCCCCGTTGTATGTCCATGGCTCCTTTATCAAATATTAATTGGCCATATATGTTTGGGTTAATGTCTGGAGTCTCTATTCTGTCCACTGGTCTGTGGCTTTGTTCCTGTGCCAGTACCAAATTGTCTTGATTACTGTGGCTTTGTAGTAGAGCTTGAAGTTGGGGAGCGAGATCCCCCCCACTTTATTCTTCCTTCTCAGGATTGTGTTGACTGTTCGGGGTCTTTGCTGTTTCCATATGAATTTTTGAACTGTTTTTTCCAGTTCATTGAAGAATGCTGTTGGTAATTTGATAGGGATTGCATCGAATCTGTATATTGCTTTGGGCAGGATGGCCATTTTGACGATATTAATTCTTCCTAGCCATGAGCATGGGATGAGTTTCCATTTGTTAGTGACCTCTTTAATTTCTCCTAAGAGTATCTTGTAGTTCCCAGGGTATAGATCTTTCACTTCCTTGGTTAGGTTTATTCCTAGGTATTTTATTCTTTTTGATGCTATTGTGAATGGAATTGTTTTACTCTTTAATTTCTTTTAATGTAAGTTAACTTTTCATTTTTTATTTTATACAGCATTGAATTTTTTCGAGAATCCAGAACAGTTATCTTATACAATGTCTTACACCTCTGTTTATCTGATGTCTTTCTCATAGAAACAGGCTTAAGTTCAGCTCAGTTATTTTGACAAGCATACTGCATAGATGATATGATCTTGTATCTTTTATTGCATTTCATCAGTAGGCATGTAAATGAATGTCAGGTTATTGCAGTATTGGTGATGCCAAATTTTATCACTTAAGGCTAAAGGTGGCGAGTAACAAATCTTTGCAGTATAAAGGTATATTTTTCTCTTTATAATGAGTAAATCATCTGAGGGGTACTAATATAAGACCAAGTGAATATCCTTTTTCCCAACAACCATTCACTTTATGGTTTTAGAATCCATTGAGGAACCTTGCCTGAATCAATTAAAGATTGGTGATTTCCAAATTCTAACTTTCATACCCTTCATTCCTTCTAACACCCTGCCTGACATTTGGCAGATACTTAGCACACTTTTAAAAATGATCACCTATTAGATGTTGAGCTGCCTTGCATGATCTCCCAGTTTTATTTCCTGTTTTCCATCTCCATATATTTTTGTACTTTTTAAACAGATTAGTTTATCTTTTAACCCTCTAATAATTTGTTTTTATTCTGTTTTAATTTTCTAATAATTGTCTCTTACTCCTTTTATGTTATCTTATTCTTCTATCATATGAAATACCTTCTCTTGACCCTCTGAGGATATTAATAGTGACTTCTGTAATTGTCCATGTTTCCTTGTGCAGTTTCTCTTCTAAGATCTTTTGGGCTTTGTTTAATCTCTTATGTTACAGACATTCCTCAAATATGATATTTGCCTATCTGTATGTTAAGGTAGACACTGAGAAGCTAATTTAACTTTTTGCATGCCAACTAGTAGGCTTTCTTAGATATGTAGTGTCCTCATTTTTTTTAAGCCTTTCTGGGGATCCACAGCCTAAACCATCCTCTTTGGAGTTTTCCTTATTCATCATTTATCTTCATGCTTTCCAGCTTCAAAAGTTTTGTTGCTATTTCCTCTTTAATCTTCTTTAACGTCATGGGTTTGTTCCTTTTTAGAAAATTTTTTTATCCTTTTTAGTGAGGTTTAGGACAGGAATAACTGAATGTGATCCACTTGTCCTATTTGAGAGAAGGTTTATCTTCTTCCTAGAGAAATCTTGTTTTTAGAAGTTTATTTTTAAGGATAATAAAAATTGAAACCATGTTATTATTAGCCATGCAATAAGTGTATTTTGATCTTTTTACATATGCCAGGGTTCAAATTGATTAACATTGTCCTTGTCTTCTTGAATCTTTTCCTTGTAGCAAGAAGACATTAAACAAACTTTAAAACAAGTAAGAAATTTGCAGTTTCAGGAACCAACTGTGTAATCTCCCATTACCAAAACAAAGCACAGAGAAAGAAAGAAAAATAAAAGTACTTTGAGAAGTAATGGCAGGATGCATAATTCAGACTTGCGTAATTAGAAAAAGTTTTATTAAGATATGCCATTTAACGGGGGCCTAAAGAATAGCCAAATTTGCAAGACCAAGTGTTGGGACAGTAAGGGAGGGGTTACAGAAGAAAATTTCAGGCAGATGAAATCATTGATGGTGGTGGAGGGGGTGTTATAGCTTAGTGCATTTGAATAACTGAGAAGGCCATTGTAGCTATGGCTTATAAAGGGGAGAAAAGTATCAGGTTGAATATGGAGGCAGGAGGCAGATCACTGCAGAATCCATAAAAATTAAGGAGTGTGATACTTATCCTAAAGACAATGAGAAATCATTGAAATATTTTGAGCAGAACAATTCCAGGCTGAATGTCACTTGGGCTGCTAAGTGCAAACTAGAATGCAAGAAACTAGATAAAATGCTGCTTTAATGGCCAGGTAAAAATTTTGGCTTGGATTCTCTATTTACAATGGAGATAGAACAATTTCAAGACATTGTTAGACCTAGTCTAAATCAACTTGCTGAATTTGTAGAAAGAGAGTGGAGCTGAGATGTTTTTACCTTTTGTGGCTTGAGGTATTTGCTCAGGGTCTTAACTGGTGTCTGTTAAATTGGTATCCTTAAATCCATTCCTTTTCCTGGTCTCTTTAATGACATATAAGCCTAACAAAATAATAGCTCTCAAACACTATGCAGTTACTTTATACAACTAAATAAATACATTATGTGTGATTTTAGAATAAGTTAATAATCATCAGAGCTGGGGTTCAGAATACTCATCTGTCTGCATCCTTATAATTCTCCAGTAGTATCACATTGCCTTCTAGGTTCTCTTCCCTTCTCTCTGACATTAAGTCTAGATTTACAATTGCTATGCTAAAGCCTTTGCTGAGTCCCCTCTTGTTTTTCTAAGGTTAGCCTCATAGATTTCTAGGCAATAGATTTTTATCAAATGGCATAAACAAGCCACATTCTAAGCACAGAAGAATCTTGCTCCTCCATTGCTCATTTCAGCACATTAATCTTTCATCAGTATACTATATCCAGAGTAACTTTATCTTCTGTCTCCTTCAGAATATATGTAATTTAGGTTTGTTACTTGACCATGTCTTAGATTTTCTTTCCAGATTAAGTTACTTAATGCTCCAGATAACCCTAAGAAATGGAAAATGATAGTTACCCACATTTTAAAATATGACACTAGATTTATTCTCTAACAAAATTGGGATGGGGGCTGGACATATTTATATTTATCAAGCTCTGCATGTCTATAGGGAATTTTTTAATCTAAAACACTATTTAGGAACAATTGATTGAATCTCTTTTTCTAAATACCTCTTTCACCTTCCTATGACTTCTCATTCTTTTTACTTTCCTTATCTGTTTGTCAAATTCACTAGTCATGTTTGAGAACTGTATAAGCTACTCACTTTTTATGAAAATCAGTTTCAGTTAAGTCTTTTCATATCTATTATAAACATTTCATTTCTCCAAGAACACTAAAAAAGTGAATGTTTGCTTTTATATTTTCTTTCAGACTGACTCAAGGTTGAGACCAAGAAATTATTTCTGAAAAAGGATATTTATGGAATAGAATCATCCTGATGGGAGATAATGGAAAGACTTATAAAAAACAGCATTCAGTGTTCAAGTTTCAGAGGTGATTGGGAATGTAAAAGCCAGTTTGAGAGAAAACAGGAATTTCAGGAAGGACATTTCAGTCAAATGATATTTACTTCTGAAGACATGCCCACTTTCAATACCCAGCATCAGAGAATTCATACTGATGAGAAACTCCTTGAATGTAAGGAATGTGGGAAGGATTTTAGTTTTGTATCGGTCCTTATTCGACATCAAAGAATTCATACCGGTGAGAAACCTTATGAATGTAAAGAATGTGGCAAGGCCTTTGGTAGTGGTGCAAACCTTGCTTACCACCAAAGAATTCATACTGGTGAGAAACCTTATGAATGTAATGAGTGTGGGAAGGCCTTTGGTAGTGGCTCAAACCTTACTCACCATCAGAGAATTCATACCGGTGAGAAACCTTACGAATGTAAGGATTGTGGGAAAGCCTTTAGTTTTGGATCAGGCCTTATACGACATCAGATAATTCATAGTGGTGAAAAGCCTTATGAGTGTAAGGAATGTGGAAAGTCCTTTAGTTTTGAATCAGCCCTTACTCGGCACCACAGAATTCACACAGGTGAGAAACCTTATGAATGTAAGGATTGTGGGAAAGCCTTTGGCAGTGGTTCAAACCTTACTCAACATAGGAGGATTCACACTGGTGAGAAACCTTATGAATGTAAAGCATGCGGAATGTCCTTTAGTAGTGGGTCAGCCCTTACTCGACATCAGAGAATTCATACTGGTGAGAAACCATATATATGTAATGAATGTGGGAAGGCTTTTAGTTTTGGATCAGCCCTTACTCGACATCAAAGAATTCATACTGGTGAGAAGCCTTATGTATGTAAGGAATGTGGGAAGGCTTTTAATAGTGGCTCAGATCTCACTCAACATCAGAGAATTCACACTGGTGAGAAACCTTATGAATGTGAAGAATGTGAGAAAGCCTTTAGAAGTGGTTCAAAACTTATTCAGCATCAAAGAATGCATACTGGTGAGAAACCCTATGAGTGTAAGGAATGTGGGAAGGGCTTTAGTAGTGGTTCAGATCTTACTCAACATCAGAGAATACATACTGGTGAGAAACCCTATGAATGTAAAGAATGTGGGAAGGCCTTTGGTAGTGGCTCAAAACTTATTCAGCACCAACTGATTCACACTGGTGAAAAACCCTATGAATGTAAAGAATGTGGGAAGCCCTTTAGTAGTGTCTCAGCTCTTAATCGGCACCAGAGAATACACACTGGTGAGAAACCGTATGAATGTAAGGAATGTAGGGAGACTTTTGGTACTGGCTCAAGCCTTACTCAACATCAGAGAATTCATACTGGTGAGAAACTATGAATGTAAGGAATGTGGGAAGGCTTTTGGAAGGGGTTCAGAAATTCGGCAACATAAGAAAAGTCATACCAATGAGAAGCTCTGTGAGTTGGAAACTCTGTAAGTTGGAATTACGTGGTTAAGAAAGGACAAATGGCATATAACAAAATACATACTAGTGAGAATACCTACAAATGTCATTAAGGTACAGATGCCTTACTAATGCTTTACCACTTAGCCTAAGGGAATTCATATGGGGGGGAAAGCCCACTCTGAATAAAATAAATATTTGAGGTTCTTTATATTCACTCCATTACTTTTGGAAAATTCTTACTTGTAAATATTAAAAATTGGAAAAACTTTATTGTGTTTGCTTTTATTTTAAACTTTAAAATTCCTTTGAGTGCTAACCCTGCTATATTTTTTAATGTTCTCACTTTTTGTGGGTTATACAGAATTACTGATCCATCTCAAAATTATTTTAAATTATTTATTGAGAGTCTAAATTTACCCTTTTGCTCCCTCCTCTATTTCCATCCTAACCCCATTTATTCAAAAGCCATATCTATTTTCTGTATTTTTGTATTGCCTTTCTGATGGTAGGTTATTTTTATACATATAAAGCTTGGATATCAGGTCAATCTTTGTTTTTTTAATTTGCATATTTGTGTTTCATCATGTTTGTGTTGTTACTGCTATTTTTAAGCATATCTTGTGGATCTATATCTTTTAGCAGATCATTTTGTTTTCATTTTATAAAGTTAATACTCATCTTTTTACAAAACAGTTTTCCTCTATAAAAATGTAGAAATGAACAAACAAAAGTAGATGCAGTTATCTGTAATCTTACCAGTCATAGACAATCACTATTAAACTTTTAGAGCAAACCCTTTCAGTCTATATGGCATTGTTTTTAAAAGAAGGTATGATTATACTATATTATAACCATCCTTTTTATATTCTTTGTAAAATGTTGCTATTTTATTGGCTTGAAAGTATTGACTTGTCTTATCAAACCCCTATTTGTCAAAGACTGAAAGTTTTGCCATTATAAAGAGTTACCTTGATGGCACCTTTTGAGTTTGCCTGCTTTTTATTCATTTTAGAGATATATATGTGGATCTCTTCTGTTTTTAAAGATGTATATGTTATAAAGATGTGCTTCCCTTTGATCAACATCCCTGACCTCTGTTATTTACTGAACATCAACTCACTTATTCTCCCAGTTCCTTTTATATGCATATATAATGTGTTTATGGTAATGGTATAATTAGTATATTTCAGAAACTTGTTATGTAGATTCTGTAATTGTGCTTATCACATAATAAATGCCTGGTTAATATTAACCATCATCATCTTCTCAATCTTTGTTATTTATGGAAAAGCTTCTAACCATGATCCACATCTTACTCAACATTAATGACATCACAATGGAAAAAGGACATTCATGTAAATGAACATAAGGTTTGATCAACATCCTTTCCTTACTGAACAAAGAATAAATCATCTTAAAAATATGAGATTGTAGAGTAGAAGGAAAGGTACATTAAAAAATTCATACCAATGTGAAAATAAAAATAGGGTAGCTTCATCAAAATCTGAATAATGAATGATGTCAGCATCTTGGTAGCATAAGATGCACCCCACTTAGCCCCTCTTAAATAAAAAATTCAGCATCCATGCACAAACAAAAGTGCCTCTCTGGGAGTTGTGGGATCCAGTACCATAAGCCAAAAGACCTGTGAGATGTGCCCATCACATCAATAGGCAGACAGTCCTTGGTATGGACAGCGGAATCGACAGGATCTGAAATAGGCCCAACCTCTACTGGTTGTGGTCAGGCTATAACTGGAGAGAGCTGATTTGGGAAGATATCCACAGATAAGAGCCTTTGTAGAGGTCTGTGCTTCCTGAGGAGAAATTCTAGCACTCCGCTGAAGAAATAAAAGTTGGGATGCATTAGAATAAGTTGAACTTCACCAGCACCAGCCCTTCCCCAAGGTGCCTGGCATGGGGCCAAACTAGCCAGCAAGGACCTTCCTCTGGGGAAAGGGAGAACAGTGAGTGAATGCCCAGCTTCCTCAGGTGTATATAATAATGCTGGAGAAACCCATTTCTTTCTTGTACCACCCAGAGTATTGAAGCAGTACCTCCATGACTGGGAGGAGGGAGGAGATTAGGAAAGAGGCATATAAGAACATCAGAATGCACTAAAGGAACACAGTTCCCACTGACTGCATTTAGGATTCCAGCAGGAAGCTGACAAGCCACTGAGAAAACTTCACCCCAGCACCCCCAACCTGTCTTGCAGGAACCAAAAGTATTAATGTTAAACCCACAACTTCCCAAATTCTGGAGCTCACTCCTTGTGCATGCTCCCTGGTGCAGCAGTGATAGCCAGATATGGTAGACAGGCAGTGCATGCAAAAAATATGCCAGAGGCTGTGGGTGAGGGAGAAATCACAAAACTGAGCAGTAGTATCATCTTAGGGAAAACAAAAGTTTTCAGCAGCCAGCCTGGTGAGTTGTTAGATGGAGAGAAGACATAAAAACTTAAGAATTCACCCATGAGGGAGCAAAAAGCACAGAGCAGCTGTATCCATACAAGGTCAGAGAAGGTCCCAGGAATAAGTGGGACCAACAAAATGTATCTCACACCTGAAGGCAACTTTTAATGATTAGAAGAGGTAACTGCTACTTCAAGTGCAAAAGCAATGCACAATTCCAAGGAACATGAAAAATCAAGGAAACATGACATCACAAAAAGATCTCAATACTCCCCCAACCAAGTTCAAAGAAATAGAATAATGTGATCTCTTGGATAAAGCATTCAAAACAAGTGTAAACAAAGATAGAAATCATAAAAATGAGCAAAACATTCTAGATCAGAAGGATTGATGAATGAAGTAAAAATGCAATGGAGAACATCAAAGAAGATAGAATCAAAGAGATAGAGGACAGGAACTTTGAAATAATCCAGACAGAGGAGAAGAAAAAGAATGAAAAAGTGAAGAAAGTCTAGATGTCTATAGGGCACTATAAAATAAATAACAGAACCACTGGAATTCCAGAAATAGAAGAGATAGATTGGGGAAGAAAGTTTATTTAAAGAAATAATAACAACTTCACAAGCGTGGGGATAGACTTGGACATCTGAGTTCATGAATCTAATCCTATTTGGATTCAAAATGACCTCCTAGACATCATTATAATGAAACTATCAAAGATCAAAAACAGTGAATCCTAAAAGCATCAAGAAGGGGAAAAAATGTGATTTACAAAGGAACCTCTGTTAGGCTATATACTACTCAGCAGAAATCCTATAGGCCATGAGAGAAGTACGTTCAAAGTGTTGAAAGAAAAATATTGCCCGCAGAGAATACACTCTCCAGCAAAGTTATCCCTCAAAAATGAAGAAGCAGTAAACTTTCTCAGATAAAAGCTTAGGGAGTTCATTACCACTTGATCTGCCTTACAAAATGCTGAAATGTTGAAATGAGTTCTTGAAGTGGAAATAAAAGGATTCTAATTAGTGCATGGAAATAGGAAAATGTCTACACACTGGTAAGGGTAACTAGATTTAGAAAACTCTAATTCTATAATGTGTGTTAACCATTTAAACATAGAATAAAGAAAAATATAAAAAGTAACTACTATAATTTGTGAATGCACATTATGAAAGTAAATGGCAAAATAAAGGGAGTAAAAGAATGGAGTTTTTGTATGTAATTTGAAGTTGATAGCTTAAAATGGAGTGTTTTATCTTTAAGATATGATTATGTAAACCTCATGGTAACCACAAAGTGAAAACTTTCTGTAGATTCACAAAAGATAAAGTGAGGGGAATCAGAGCATACCAACATGGAAACTCACCAAGACAAGAAGTAGGCAGAAAGAGGGAGTAAAAGAGCAAACTACAAAACAGCCAGAAAACAAAAAATGAGACAAGGTTAGTAAGTCCTTCCAGATCATTAATTACTCCAAATGCAAAACTATTGAATTCACCAATCAAAAGTGGCTGGATAGATAAGACGCAACTATATGCTACCTCCAATGACTCATTTGAACTTTAAGGTCACACGTAGGCACAAAATGAAGAGATGGAAAAAGATATTCTATGCAAGTAGAAACCAAAAGAAAGCAGGGCTAGCTATAATTAGACAATAAATTTTAGGCCAAAAACTATAATAAAAGACAAACAAGGTCATTATATAATGAAATGGGGTGAATTAATCAAGAAGATACAGGAATCATTAATGTGTATACACCCAACATTAGAGTATCTAAATATATTAAGCAAATATGAAAGCTTTGAAGGGAGAGATAGACAATACAATAATAATAGGAGGGACTTCAATACTCCCCCCCCCCACTTTCAGCAATGAATAGACAATCCAAACAAAACAGGGAAACACTGGATTTGAACCTTGCATTAGACAAATGAACCTAACATGTAGATAAAACATTTCAATCAACAGCAGCAGAATATACATTCTCAAGTTCACAAGGAGCATCTTCTAGGATGGATCATATAATTGGTCACAAAACAAGTCTTAGTAAATTTAAGAAGATTGACATCATATCATATATATTTTCCAACTACAATGGTATGAAATTAGAAATTAACAAAAGGAAAGCTTGAAATTTTACAAATATGTGGAAAATAAACATGCTATTGAAGAACTAAACACACTTCTTGGGACAGAAGAAAGTGAAAAAAATCTCAAAGCAAATAAAAATGGAAATAATACATAAAAATCTGCAGGATGCTGTTATAGCAGTTCTTAAAGGGAAATTTATAGCGATAAATGCATATTTTTAAAAAATTCAATTAAAAATGGCTTTAAATGTCAAGGAACTAGAAAAAAGAATAAACTAAGTTCAAAATTAGAAGGAAAGATCAGAGCATAAATACTTGAAAAAAGAGACTAATAAAACAATAGAAAAGATTAACTTACAAAAAAATAGAAGAGTAGGGTAAACTCCCAAACTCATTTCACTAGGCCAATAGAAAAGATTAAACTAAAATCTGTTTTTTTAAAGAAGCTAAAGAAAAAAAGGGGAACCAAACCCTAAATAAAATCAGAAATGAGACATTCCAACTGATAACAAAGAAATGACAAAGGATAATATGAGAGTACTATGAACAATTATGTTAGCAAATTGGATAATCTAAAACTGGATAAATTTCTAGAAACATACAAAAACTACCAAGAAATAGAATGATGAAGAAATAGAAAATCTGAACAGACCAATCGCTAGAAATGTGTTTGAATCAGTAATAAAAAATTTCCAATGAAGAATAGTCCAGTACCAGATGGCTTCACTGGTGAATTTTATCAAGCATTTAAAGAATATCAAT